CATAGCTCCCTTTCTAAGAAGGAAATTCTTCAAAATCATATCTCAGTTTTCAATATTTTAAATATTCCCAACAATCAAAATGAATTTAAATTAACATATTTATACTGGATTTTGAAACTTCATAAAAATCCTTACAAACAAAGATATATAGCGGGTTCCAGTAAATGTTCTACCCAGCCTCTTTCTTTACTTTTCACGAAAATATTAACAGCTGTAAAATGGAAATTCAGGAGTACTGTGCAACAATGTATTCGAGAAGTTGTGTAAATCGGATGTGGATACTTAAAAATACCAATGAACTTCTCGAAAATTTGAAATCACAGAATCAATAACATTAAAACTTACGACTTTTCAACTCTGTATACAGCCATTCCCCACGATAAATTAAAGTCCGGTTTTTTTTTTTTTACATCAATGACAGCTGCTTTTTCAATAAAAATGGAAGTCGTAAATTTATTAACCTTGTCATTGATTATTTGCAAAATTATTTGTTATAATATATTCTGATTGTACACACAAGTACTCTGAAGTTGACATTAAAAAGATGCTTGAGTTTCTGATTGACAAAATCTACATGTATGTGGTTTTTGGAGACTAGGTCTTCCAACAATCTGTTGGAATTCCCATGGGTACCCACTGTGCCCCGTTGAAGGCAGACCAGTTTTTGTATTCCTATGAAGCAGATTTTATTCAAAATCTTATACTTGAAAAAAAGACATCTTTTGCTGTGGACTTCAACTCAACATTTAGATATATTGACTACGTATTATCAATTAACAATAGTCATTTCCATGCATATGCTGACACGATATATCTCAGTGGGCTTTAAATAAAAGGTACCACAGAGTCTTACATATCTGTTTCATATTTGGATATTTTACAAGAAAAAGACGTTAATGGTAATCTAACAACAAAACTTTATAACTAACGTCAACTTTTCCATCGTCAACTCCCTTTACTTATGCAGCAATATACCCTTAACACCTGAATATGGGGAGTATATCTCTCAGTTTATTTGATACGCAAGAGGATGCTCTACGTGTGAAAAATTTCTAAAAATAGTTCAGTTATTAACAAACAAATTGATGAAACAGGAATATCTCAAGAAAGTCTCGTTTAAAGTCATCATTTCGTAGGTTCTGTGGTCGATACAATGACCATGTCAGCAAATTCAATCTATCATAAAGTCATCTGCTGACTGAGGTTTTTCATAGTTAGGCTATTATTTACGCACTGAATTTTAGTTATTATCCGATCATGAAAGGAGCACACGGCGGGTATGACAGGTCGGCAGGGGATGCTCACTTCTCCATGGCACCTGATGCAATCTCTGGTGCTCTTGGGGGTTCATGTTTGCTCTGTTCCCGATTTGTATTGTTTTAATGGACTGAGCTTGAATACTGTTCATTATCTCAATATTTCATACCAGGACTTTAATTTTTTTTAAATATAAATATTAAGAAATCTTTTCTCAAAAATACACCTCTTATAGCTTACTATGCTGTCATATTGGCAAGTTAAAATATCTGAGTGTAGCCTTAATATAATTTTATCCTAAAGTCAATTTTAGGATAAAAGACCAGAGGCAACCAGGCATTCAGAGTAAATTTCATTTTTTTTTTCTCTTCATACTTTGTTTTAGTTGTTTCATTTAGTGCTTCAATTGTTAAATGATATATAGTGTAAAAAGCATGTGCTACACAGCACAAATAAGGCTACAAAAAGGAGGCGGGGCCTAATTTTTACGGGAAATATTAACTTTGTCATCACACAAAACTAACAATCCTTAAAAATAGCACAGAATGAAGTGATTTGCGATTTTAAATTGTAGTACATAATAAAACTACATCAAAACGTACTATAACATGCGTTTTTGTCGTTAGTTAATTCCCCCATAGCAAGTTTAAGCAAGTCACTGATGGCATGACTTGTCAATATGACGTCATTCCGTAAAAATTTTCGCAGTTTGTATGCAGTGAGAGGCAGATCAAGTAATATTTTCACAACGAAGAAACTTATTTTATTATTCACTAAAATATTATTTGCAGATTTTTAAGAGGTCATTAATTTGGATGCAATGTCCTTTTTATGATTTTGTTTTCCGTACAATTCCTAATTATCTGATACTGTCGTATATTTGTATGCAGGTACAATGGGGGATAAGGGTCTTAATAAATCAATCTAGTGCAAGGGCATACCCTCAGTGGATCATAATAAGTTTAAAATCATGAACTCTAGAAGTATTAAGCCATTTGAAAAGGGCTGCGACCCTTTTGAAATCTTGAAACTGAATAACTTATTTCAATATTTAATGAAGCTGACCAGCAAAAAAATTATATGCGTTCATACAAATATGATTTTAACAATGAAATAGTAGAATCTTTGTAAGATCGCAGCACTTTTCACAAACTATAATGATTGTTGAAACTATTTAAAAATCAGAAATCGAATTTTAATTTGGTTATGCCCTTGCACTATTGAAATGTATAGGTGACCTCAATACTGCAAGTATATGTCCTTAAATCACGTGACTTCGCATCACGTGACTAGTCTAAATAGAAAATCTAATCGTCCTAAATATGTAGTTAATAATCATAATTACATTTGTCCGATATTAGTAAATTTTTAAAATGAATCGCCATCCTGAAAAAAAAGAATATATGTTGTATCATAAAAAGTCGCCGATATTTCCATTCGCACCTTAACTGTGCTGTGTACATTGAAAGCATCACGCATCACTTTAAATTTCATTTCAAGCTAATAAATGTTGGAGTATCTAGATTAGTCTAGATTAAATGAAAAAAAATATTTTTATTCTTGTACTTTTATGGGGTAAAATTGTCAACTATTTACAAAACCGTTTCTAACATTTCAAAGAACCTTGTGTCTCATTTAGATGCATGAAATGAAAATTGTTCTTGAACGATTTTAATTTCAAGCTTCATTCTGAGACTTTTGATTAAATAATGATTTTAAGAGTAATTGTTCCTGGCCAACGAGCGGATATCCTTAATGCAGCATATTCTGTAAATAGTGGTTTATTTTCTAAAGAAATTAACGTTGATTTAGAAATTCTTCTTTATTTCTAATCTTTATTTTATTTCCGTAACATATTTACTTTTGATGAAAAATTCGTTATTAGCATAAAACTCATTTACAAAACAGAAATTACAAATATACCGACACATATAGAAAAACCTTTAATTCTTTTGCTGCTTTCATACCTTGACACTAAGCATCTCTCTTCGATGCTACTAAAAAGGATTTGCATTAATTTAAGCTGAAATTTCAGGGGGGGGGGGGGGGAGTTAGTTGTGGGGACTCTTATTAAATAAGGGAAGAAATTTTTAACGCTTCGTCATTGTTGTCAACTAAAGCAGGTACATGTATTATAAACGTATTCGCTTATCGTACCTGCTGATTGCCACGGTTTAGGAGTGCTTTTGATCCATAATGTAAGTATTTTATTTCTAAAAAAAAAAAAAATTAATAAAAGAACTTCTGATGAAAATAGGAAATAAATATTTTCTCTCTTTGCATATGCGTCCAGTAGGAATCTATTCTTAAGAGTATATTAGAAAGTAGTGAAAATTTCAGGATAATTCAATGCCACTGCTTTAAAAATACCGAATAATCTTTCAGCAACGTACAAAAGTAGAAGATGCGTTCTTCCATAGTAGTTTGGAGGACTCTGGTTATCAACATCTATGGGGCCTTTCAGTTTGTAGATATTTGATAAGTCGTAGAGTTAATAAGATTCTAGAATTATATGCATGGAACTGAAGTGTTGCTCCACTTTGACCCATCTCTGTTACACGATTAAAATTCATTTTTATAAATTTCTAGCTTGCTTTTTTTCAATATTGCTCATGCTTGCAGGCAATCCAGATCCTGAGCTGATTTAAGTAGGTTAAAAAAATCAAGATAAACCATATTTTTTCCGGAATGAATTCATTTTCTTTATTTACGTTTCTTTTCAATAATACTATAATCAACAAAACACCATAATTTTTCTTGAAATACATTTATACAAATGGCAAGTATCAATATCGAATATAACCGTTTCATTCGAGGCAAAACTTATTGAATAAAATAGAAAAAAAAATCCGACAATATGAAGGAATAAATCAAACCTCCACTTAAAGACAGTCTTAGTAATAATCTCCTTAATAAAATACTAAAAATTCAAATTTTTTACAAAACATGAAGAATATTTTTTTAATTGGTTTTTTTCTGATCGACCTGATCACAGTATTATGCAGGATGTAGACATACGAGTTAAAAGCGTTTAAGAACACACTTCTACGAATTAATCGACAAACAGGATATAATGTTGGCAAAAGATTTAACAACAATGCTATTTTTAAGAATGATACATTGATGATATGTGTGAAAATGTTCGTAAACAAGAGAACGAAATACAGTTTAATATGAAATATAGGCGTAATTCTTTTTCTTGTCATTTATTCTAATTCCCATTCTGAGATTTCTGTATTTCTGTATTTCTATATAATAAAAGTAATTAATATACTACTCCATGGCACCTGATCCCACCTCTGATATTTTTTTAGAAGTCTATTATGCTCCGCTCCTGATTTGTATTGTTTCAATGAACTTATGAGCTTGATAACTGTTTGTTATCTCCATATTTCATAAAACCCTCCATTCATTACAGTATTTATGTACACTCAAATTGAAAACAGAGTATAAAAAGAGTTCATTGAATGCTTAATTATGTTTTGTATTGAAAAAGTGAAGAAAAGGAACAGTCGACAAATGAATGAAAATAACTATTGTTGATTGATGAAACGTCGTTGATATGTCTTACTATTGAATTGAAGGCAACAGCATTTTTTTTTTCTCAAATAGAATCCGTTTAGATATATTCTGCTGGATTATTGTTTGTATAAATCGTAGCGAAAGTTAAATGTTTTGATGCTCTTAATTTTAGGGGAAAATTGTGATTCCAAATTTTCTACAATTTCTCTTTAAACCAAGCACTACCCTTGTTCAATGTCAGGCGTAATGAGAGGTTCAGTGTCACACACAAAGTCTTTCTCAATATCAGACAGATCATCCTGCATAATAGTAGGCTTAATTTCTTGCTCCATGTCAGACATAACATCCTGCTCAATGAGAGACTGAAATTTTTCCCAGAAGACGTCATACGCACATTCTTCCTTAGGATACTCCAAGTAAGAATTTTGTTTCAAGATAGTCAGCAATATTCCAGGGAGTGAATCTATTTTAACTTTAGGGAACAGGATAATATGAATAAATTTCAAACTTTTTCCTCTTTTTACACCTTCCCACCTTGCTATAGTGATTTCAAAAACTCGATACTTGTCGATGTCGGATTTCAAGTACTCATCAGATAACAAACATATCACACGTCTGCTTTTTTCAATGGCTTCCATTATGACAGTATATTCGCTTTGCCCTGCTTTATGAACATCGTCACGGTCACGAATGAAAAATCGCAAGTTTGATCGAGTTTGAAGACGTGGGATCATTACATCGACCACAAAATCTTTCATATCATCGGAAAAAGAAATAAATGCATGGTAGTCATACCCCATTGGCCCTATTTCTTTTGAAAGAGTTCCAATTTTTCCCAATCTTTTCTTGACTTTGAAAATGAAATATATAATTTTCCACTTATTTTTTACGATTATCACACCTATCATTATGCTCATTAAGAAAGCAAGTGCAACTGATATTAATAAATAAATCAACAAAAATGATTTGCAATTTCTTCGCAAAGTCAACAAAGACGAAGAGGCATTTGAGAAATCAAACGTTTTGGAACTTGCCATTGAGCACTGATATGATTTAAATTGTTTAAAATGCATTCTGTAGGCAGTAATCCAGGAAAGAAACTGCAAATTTTCACATGAGCATAAAAGTTTGTTTTCAGATATATCAATTGTTAGACTTGATATTAAAAATAGGCTTCCAAAAGCACTTTGCTGATGCATGTTTATCGTTGTTAACCTGTTTCTAGCCAAGTTTATCAATTTAATTTTTCTCATGTGATCCATTTTTACGCGCCATTCAAAAAGCAAATTACCTTTTAAGTTTAATTCTTGCAACTCTTGAAGGTTTTTGAACATTAAAGTTGGCAACACGTTTATGTTGTCAAATGAAAGATCAAGTATACGCAGGGAATGCATATTTTCAAATATTTTCCCCTCAATGTCATTCATAAACTGTTTGCCAATATCATTTTTAGACAAATTCAGGATTTGTACTCCAGTTGCGTATTTAAAAAAAAAATTGGGAAATGTTTGAGCAGAAATTATTGGAAAGATCGATAATTGTTAAATTTTCGATTCCATGTACTGGTCCAATCCAAGAGTAGAAGAAGTTATGTTGTAAATAGAATTCCCTGAAACCTTTGGAGTTTATCCCAAATTCGGGAATAGCCGTATACAGTCGACTGGAGTTGGCATAAATAATTTCTGCTGACCTTGGAATATTAAATGTTATAAGCCGTTTGTCATTCGTACGAAATAATATATCTGTACTTCTTTCTGCATCTGTTCTTCTATCGTTTTCTGAAAAAGTAAATTCACAGTCGTCGTGCTTTTCAATACAGTTTTCGAATATTGACCACGGAAACGGCGCTGGTCGAAGTTGAACGCTTATATTAAAGATGCGAACACTTTCCACAGAGAAATAGTCTATCATATATTTCCCTTGAGTCAATTTATTTTCCCCAAGGGATACTTTTTTTAACGTTTTGGGAAGAACTTTTATAGCTCCTGCCTCAAACTGCTCAAGTCGGTTTTTTTCGATGTATAATTCGGTAATTTTTGTGTCTTTTAAGTTGATAAGATGACATGTACGGATTTTTGTCCCTGTTCCAGTCAAACAGTTTATACCATTAAATCGAAAAATTTCTATGGCTGTCTTTTCCAGATTTTTTGTGATATTTGGAAGTGAGGCAAATCCTAATCTCTTGTTATGGGATATATCAAGATGTTTAAGAAATGGGAGACTCCCAAACGCTCCATCATCAACATGCAAGATTTCACATGCTGAAACATCAATGTAGGTCAAGTTAGGCAAATATTTGAAAAAACCTTGCGATATTTTTTGAAACGAACAATGTCCTGTGATTCCAGACAGATCTAAGATATTCATATCTGTTAATTTTAAGAATCCTTCTCCGAATGTAATATTTCGTGGGCCGTCAATTTTCAACATTTTTAATGCTATTAACTCTGAAAAAAGCATCATCTCGAATCAAAATATGATCCACTGGATTAATGTTTCCCTTCAAATTCATTTCTGTCAGTGATTTTAAATCTGAAAAAAATTCTTTCCTGAACGATGAAAAATTTATGTGGTTATAGTCCAAATTCAGCGTTTTCAATTTTTGTAGTCCCTGAAATGAAATGTTACTCACTGTTTTAAGCTTGTTTTTGGAGAGATCGATATAATACACGTCCTTAGGAAAAGTGTTTTCAATTTTTTCAATAAAATTATCACTAAGGTCGATCCAGGTACTGTTTTCATAAAACTTTGGAATTTCAAGCAACTTTTTGTGTGAGCAATCTACTTTTGTTTGATTCTTTACTTCTTGGCAAGTGCATTTCACTGTACCAAAGTCACAAATGTAACATCTCGAATACATTATCGATAAACAAACGAATATCACTATCAGAGATTCTTTTAATGAGCACAACTTGTTGAAAGTAAATCCCATGATGTATTCCGATGATCTTTTGTCGTATTATTGTTTTCTGATTTTGATCAAATTATTTTAAGAGGAATTGTCACTTTTTCTTTCATATTGTTTGCTAGAACGGTTGCAGCAAAAACAAAAAAAAAATGATGAGAAGATTAATTTTAATCTTGCAAATGAGTATGGAAAAAAACGTCTGTTTTATGTAAGGTAAATTATTGCTTATTAACAAGGAACATGATTACAATGCAAAAATTCGAATCAGCATAATCTGTAGAAGACAAACTACTAGTAAGATTTGAGACGAAATTTCCAGCAAATCCATATTATAAAATAATGAAATTAAAATTATACGTCAACATATCAGCAGACTCACTTCTGTTGCTTTTGTGCCTTCATTGTAGAGGTTTTGAATGTTTCCTGTAGAAATCAGCTTTTTATATGCATTTCTTCCTTCAAAACAGACAATAAACAGATTTATTTAAGTGTCATTTAAGTGTCATTTGCAACGATATCATTTTAAATTCATACAATTGTAAAACAAAACGGATTTAATACCTTAACATTCTTACTAACAATGGTTTCTAACAAAAATTTTGAAACTAAAAAAAAAAAAATATACGGATCTTAAAATGTGATCCGGATAACAGCTTATTGATTTTTTTTAAATTAAACAGCAAATTCAGGCCAAAACAGGAAGGCAATCATCTAGATAATTACTCGTATGATAAGGATAAAGCCTTAAAGAACTGAAGAACTACATTAATGTGTATATTGACATTAGGCTTCATCGCTATGATTTCGCCTACAATCTCTAAATTACATCGACACTTGAAAAGATAAGTATTATAAGTATCAAGACACATAACATTTTGTATACATTCACAATTTTATTTATTTATATTTTTTTTTTAAAGGGGGGGTTAAAGAAATTATATCATCTTTTTGATAAAAAGTATACATAATTGACAATTTGGCACATGGTTTATTCTTCTCGCAAGTGAGTGAAGGCTAGGTATAGGCATTTCTGTGCACATGAGCTAATAAAACCGCACCAGAGGTATGCCTATTGTGCAGAAAAAGTTTCAAATCCTTTTTTACATACTTACATGTAGTTCCTAAGGCATGATATTTACATTCTACATGTATTTTGCTTTGAAATTGACGGCATCCAAAACAACATAACACGGACAGGGTGTCAAAAGTATTAAAGCATGTGTTTTATTTTGACGTCACAAACGTTGAACGCCGTGGACGTGCAACGCTATAAGCGAAAATCAAAATTCACGCTCACTTTGAAAAGAAGCTGTTGCAATGGCTCTTCCATTAATTGTTATTTACCGTAGGGATAATACAGGGATTTTGGAATAAAAATCACATTTGCAGTCGAGGCAAGGAGTTGAAAATGTAAATATAAGCATTGAATCATTATTTTTTGAAAGATATAATCTTATAACTACAAAAGTGTCCGCAAACAAAAATTTTCATAACGCGCTTACGTACGTTACTCTATTAGTCTGCACACACCATTGAAGTTACATGTATGAGACTATTTCTTTCAAAAAATGATGATTCAATTCTTCCCATAGCCAGTGCACAATATGACGTCATATTATCACGTCATCGTTCTTTACTACTCCAAGTTATAAAACATATCAACAAAAGAGCTTCGGCGCAAGGGCAAATCCTATTTAATTTTACATAAATGATGTATAATTATAGGAAGAATATTCTTATAATTGATAAAAGTGCTGCACAAATTGTATGCACTTTCTAATTTGATATGAATATCAGAAAACTTACAGAGAACTGTGAATTTTTACCTTTTTTCAACTCAGAACTTTATAAATAGTACCTAAACAATTGATTTGTCGATATTTGTGCACCAATATCATCAATCCTTGGAATGTTTTGTTTCTATAAATTTAAATAGAGTATATCCTTGTGTCGAAGCTATTTTCTTGAAGTTCTTTAAAACTGGTTGTAGTAGAGGAGAATGACGTCATTATGTGACGTCATAATGTGTACTGGCTCCCATCGTGGAAACCAAGACTGTATTAGAAAATAAGTTCTAACCTATTCTGTACAATAGGTATAGCCCTTATGCGTTTATTTGCATGGACACATCTATACTTACATGAAGCCTTTATTCACTTGCACTGAATAAACTGAAATCAGCACTGTGTTAAAATATTAAATTCTTATTATCAAAGGGGACCATTATATTGAAAAATACAAATTTTCAAGAAAGAAATTGAAACCCTGATATGACAGTCCTAAAAACATTCAGTGAGAAAAAAGATTACAAAGTGTATAAATTAGAGACACAGAAAAATGATAACAGATTATTGTAATTACATCGAAGATAACAAAAACAAACAAAATACACACCGGTCACAGTAGTCTAGTGGAAGGCCTAGGGCGTGCTCGAGAGGTCCAGGTTCGATTTTCGATAGCCGCACTTTACAGAAGTAACAATTTCGATTTCTAGAAAGCCTGACATGTTATCTCTTTGGCTTCATTAGCCTCATGTAATAAGCAGTGAAATGTAACTTCTTTCTCGATTTTTACTGGCAGTGTTATCGCTTTCGAAAAATGGGGGAAACCAGAAAAATAATATTTGACAACTAATCTGAACAATCTTTGACAGGGAAAAGGGGGCTGTACCAACTAAATAGTCCTATTACATGTAGGGGGAGGGGGAGTATCACATTTACTCTATGTGTTTTTTTTTTTTTTAAATTTTAATTTGCATAATACTTAGTTATCCTGTAGGAGACCTCTTTTATTTGTATACTTAAGGGAGCCCCATTTCTTCAGGGCTATACAAGGAGGCTGGGGGTCTAAACAATTTTTTTTTCAAAATTGATCAAATTGGCAGAAATGCTTGATATAATCATCAGTTATATTTTAGTATAAAGGACAACACCACAATCATCCTTAATTTTCGAATTTATTACATCTTGGTATACTGCACATTACTTCAACATGAAAACATAACAAAAAAATATGAAACACAAATATAAAGCGGAAAGTGGCTAAAAATATAACAATTACATCAGATAAAATAAATTCAATTAAAAGAAACCTTCTTACAATGAAAATGTTACAAGTCAGCTTTGCTCCAGTTAGTTTTCCCAGAATTTCTGAATATGACACATAAATGCAGATAAATTGATAATAAGTACATTTTTCTAAAATGCATTTTAAATCTTATGTCATATCATATGTAATTAATCATTCACCAAGTATCTTAAATTATAAAATTAGAGCCTTATTTATATTCCATAATTAACAATGTCAAAATATTTAACAACTTTTTGTAACAAGGACATATTATTCACATTACATATCATCATATCTGCCTTTAGTAAAGTAATATGTCCAGGGCCTAAGGATTATTGAAATTCCTTTCATGGAATAAATAATACCAATTTATAATAACCCTAGTCCTATTCTTTATATTTGTCATCGAACAATTCATGTAATATTCAAGCAAATTGCCTAGTTTATTACATTTTCAACAGTGAAATACTGTGATTTATTTATTGAATAAAAGTGATATTCTCTCACACTGTGAGAGGATACCCAAAATGATATTCTCTCACAGTGTGAAAGGATATCAAGTAAGTAATAAATAATTTCTGGCCTATCATAAGATAGAGATAGTAACTAACCATCTTGATAGAGCTAAAACTGCACATTTTTTTCCCAAATATGTTGCTAAAATCCATGCTATGTAATGTTTTCAATCCCACAACTGCTAAACTATGACGTCTCAACCGCTCAACTATGACGTCAAGCCTATGGCATTGTGTTAAGAAAAGACAGAGGCAAGGGGGAAATCAAAGAAAATGTAATAAACAGAAAATTCAATGTTTTGTAAATGAATATGGAATTTATTACACTCGTGAGACAGGATTTTTTGATATTTTCACTCGTGCTTCGCACTCGTGAAAATATCAAAAAATCCTGTCCCACTCATGAAATAAATTCCAATTCCTCTATATACATATACATGTACATGTATCATTTAGCTGTTTAGGAAGTCATTTTTGTCTGTTTAAACATGTTTATAATTGATAAAATACAAAGAAAGAACAATCAAACGTATTACCTGAAACTGAAGACTGGTCAATATTGTCCAGGTTTTAAGCAATAATATACCGATGACAAACACTGAAAAACTCAGTATACTTGGACACGTGTTTTCTCTTCGGAGAAGTATGCATGGTTTTGCAGTACATGCACTTCAGACTGTACGTAGAAAAACAATCACTGTTGTCGCTTTTATTGTTGTTTACATAAACGGATAAATCTTGTCTGTTTCTTTTTTCCACCACTTATAAACGGCCTAGTTTTGTCTTGACACTTTTGACAGTTTATCTTGACAATTGTTTTTATGGACTATTATTACCGTATAAGGATGAAGAGTTCATTTAAAGAACATTAACTCTTCCAGTACTATGGAAGAGTTACAAGACTTCAAAGTGAAATCTTTTTTTGTTTAAAGATAATA